TCGCTCAGTCAGCTAGGAATCTGCCTGCAGAGCCCAAGGCTGGGGGTTCGATTTCCCACTGGGCCTCCTGCGCTTTGAGCCAGCCTGGGTGGCCTTGGGCAAGCTGCACTCTAGAAGAAGAGAATGCCAACCAACGTCTAAGTATTTTTATCTAGAAAACTCTGAAGAATGTCTCCTGAGTTGGAATCAACTTGACAGCACATCATGATGATGATGAATTATGTTGCTGTACATGTATGCAATCCCTTGTTTAAAACTACAGACGGGTGGCACTGAGCTTTCTGACGAATAATAGGAGCTGAAAAGTAAGAGAAATATAGAAATAAATAAATAAGGGATGTCTCAAAATGCTCTTATGTTTATCGCTGAAGGACAAAGATGATTAATCATTTTGGGATAATCAGTGGAGTCCTGTGTGGCTGTTGAAGTTTCTTAAAGGGAACGGTTTTGGAGCCCTGTATGTGTGCATGCGTGCGTGTGTGTCAGTGTCAATTATAGGCTCAAATGAGGGGGCCATTAAGGATTCAGGAAGGTCACGGAGGTTCAGGCTCTAATGAGATTTTCCAGAACGAGGAAACCCTTTACAGACAGCCTTCCTCCTCCCACCCCTCCAGCGAACTATTCAGAAACAGAGTGAGAAGAGGAACTGGGGGAAGATTAAAAGAACTGAGGAGAAGGTAACTTTAGTAAGCTAAAGTTATGACAAATAAAACACAGTTTTCCTATTGAATAGCTGCTGAATAGCCTAAGGAATGTAGGCCGTATATGTGTGTGTTCTCCGTAGAATCTCGATAGCGAAAGACATAATGTTTGCTTGAGATGCCAAGCAGAAGGAATCGTTTATGACTGTTGCCTGGGAATCCAGACTGGGACGAACCATTGCCTAGCCCAGCGCTTCCCAGCCTTGGGTCCCCAGGTGTTCCTGGACCGCAACTCCCAGAAATCCTGGCCAGCAGAGCTCATCGGAAGATTTTGGGGAGCTTTAGTCCAAGAGCTACTGACGACCCAAGGTTGGGACCTACTGGCGTAGAAGCTTCGTCCTAGCATGTCCAGGGTTTGAAGGAAAGCCAACCCCTGACCCTTTTAGAACAAGTTCTTGCTGCTTAGCTGAACATTTCCAGAAAAGAAAACTAACCCTTTTCTCTGGTGTAGAGGAAAGGGATGCATAATATGCCCATAGTGAAATGCATCAATGTTATAAATCACTAACACAGCCGATGAATATGTCACTGTGAAATCTATCATCACTTTTTGGGGGCTGCTGGTAGCCAACGGGTCCTTAAAGGAGCCGGATCGTCCTTTAAAATCACTCTCTGCATCATACAACTTCTTATCTTTTTGGTACTGCTTCTGTTCGCTGTCTAGGTGACCCGTTCTAAAGATCGTGTTACCTGTACATTCACTAATTGCGTAAGCAAAAGGGGATTCTCGAAATCATAGCTGGCATTTTGGAAGGGCGGGAGGGAAGGGGATATTTCTAGCTGTCAGTGAACCAACCATATTATTTAGGCTATGACAATTCTGCCCGTATTCTTTCAGAAGGCCATTCTCTTTCATTCCAGTGGAAATCTGCAAGTTTTAAAAACTTGCACAAAAATGCACGTAAAGGATTTAGATGTGTTTTATCTTAGAGCACACATTTCCCCCCAGCTATTTTGTTGTGACACTCATGCACCTATGTACACACATGGCATTTGCCCTCCAAGCTACTGTGAAATAGCTACTTATTTAACTGTTTGCCTAAGCAAACTCTAAATATTTGTATTCCGTGTTACAAATGTTGTGCTTTCGATGTGGAGTGGGGATAGATTGTTTTAACAAGCCTTGGATCAATCAGACCTTTATTGGCATAGACAAGACAACGTAAAAAAGGAAAATTAAAAGAGGAGTGCAGTTTGCTGGTCTTTGTTGCACAGGATTGTAACATAGTGTAGAAAGGATGCTACGCTCGCAGATACATCCTGTAGAGAGTCACTCAACATAAAATAAACTTTATCAGCTTCGGAGAGGCCTGATTTGTTTTTTAAAATTGGTTCTAAAAGTTGGATACGAGGGGCAGTATACTTGGGACACCCTAATAGGATATGGGAAATTGAATCGATACAATTTTGTTTGCATGAACAAAGCCTATCTGCGTGGGGGGTCCTTAAAAATCTGCCAGTCAGGACTGCAGATGGCATCACATTAAACCGGGCCAATGAGAACGCCCTCCGGTGCTGGGGGTTACTTAGTGCAGAAAGATATGAAGCTATATGTCCAAATTTGCAAGGGAGAGACAATTTCGCTGGTGAACAAGTCTTGTTAGCCGCATTATAAAGATTTTGTTGCTCAATATCCAGGACTCTTCGTTTAATTATTTGGAACGTTTCAGAGGCAGACAGCATATAAAAAGAGTCCAAGCATAGACCCAAAGCACTAATTTTTTTCTCGATGATGGCAAGCCAGTTGGAGGGGGACAAATCT